GAAAGTGATCCAATAATTTTGTCTGCTTCTTTTCCTTCAATGAAGGCCAAACATTGGATACATTGACCGCAATCCATAGCGCACTTGGTCGCTCTGTAACTATACTTGACACGGTTATATTTAATACAGTTTTCGAAATGTCTTCCGCTATTAAGGAATCGGACTTCGATAGAATGGTCATTTGTGTAACACTTTCGGCATTTACTATGGCGCGAGGCAATATAGCATGAAGGACAGGCTGCAACTGAATGCTCTCGTACGCCAATACATGCTGAACTAGAAAAAAAAGATTTCCCCAAGTGGCAGTGTCCACAAAATCCTTTACCAGACTCAAGAAAGTTTTGTCGTCCAATAATTGTGGGATCGAACAACCATCTTTTATTGCCTTTATCGTATGGAAGTAGAATAACAATATGGAAGTGTACTCCCATATATCATCCATCGTGCCTGATGGTAAGGAGTGGCTTTCCAAACTTAAAGGTATTACTGGTAATAATAGAAGCGATGATGTGAACAGGTCTTGCTCCATATTTAAGATACGCTGATTTAATACCATCTAGTACGTCTCCTTCTCTAATGATAGTACATCCTCCATTCCTAATAAATCATTAAGTATGGGTTTTAAAAGGGCATCATCATCGGTACTATTCGATAACATATATTTATTATAATACATTTCTAAATCATTTAAATAATTAATAATCCCTTGCTCATAATCATTACTCTTTGTTGCTAAATAATTTGAAATATCAATCTTAACCGATACTAACTCTGACTCTGTTATCTCCCTTTGCAATGCTTCAAATTGAGGATCATCTTTAATATCAATAATATCCATTGTATAAGTCACCTTTTACTAAAATGCTTTCTTCACTTGTCGAACGTTGAAATGAATTTTTTTAATAAAACATCTCTATTTATACTATAATAACACCTAAGTAAACAAATACTTTACAGAACACCGAATAACAGAAAAAACTCACACCAATGTATTAGGCCCAAAATCAAAGCCCAATCACCCCTCAGTCTGGTCCCAGTTGGTCCTAACAGCAATTGGGCGCGGCACAAATCAATTATATTTTGTAAATTTGTAAGATTATTATTAAATTTTAGTGAGACTGCTCCTATCCTCAAAAAAGAAAAGAAAAATGAGAGCTGGTTGTCTCTTAGCTTAAATATTTTTACTTAGATAAATATTAAAAAAATATTAGAATTATATTTCGGCAAGGTATCAACAATTTTGAAAACCGTCCTATAAGACTAGTTCGTCTCACGACTTATATTCATTTAAAATGTAAGCCTACCTTTTCAGTACGTAGAACTTATATTTTAATACTTTTGTTTTAAGATCGGCAACCGTCGTGCACTCCAACAACATAATTAGAAAATTAATACTCGTCATATTTCATCATCAACCAAACACATAATACTTTCCTCTTTTTTGAAGAACTGAGGCTAACTTTTGTTAAAATACTCTAGCAAGAATGATAAAGTCATTCAATCTCTTTGAGGTATACTTAGTAACTGCTTCTAGAATTTTTTTTACCTGCTATTTACGGCTATTTAAAGTAAAGCAGAAAATTTTAAAATTTGATCACCCAGTTTGTTTTTTACAAAGCCTTATAAATAGCAGTATTCCTTTAGACTAACTGTTTATCTTTAGAGTTGTTAAACCTTTGAAATTTAACTGAACTTCTACTGACTGGCACTTTAAAAGAGGATTTATTTTTGACTTCGTTAAAGAAAAGTGAAAAAAATCCTAAAAAATACTAAAACCTTCGCCTTAGTTTTTTCTGTAAATTCCAAATCTAATAATGGTTGTTTTTAGTCTTGATGGAGGTAAAGATGTTTAAAAAATGTGTAAAAAAATTATGAAAATAAAATCTTGTTATGGTAACAACTTTCAACTACTGGGAACTTTCTTAAAGAGCCATCGTTAAAGGACGTCAGAAAAGGACGTCATTTTATAGATTTTTTGTTTTAGTTTATTTGTACATGGAAAACTATGTAAAAATATGTGTTTTTAAGAAGATAATGTATGAGAAGATTTTTAATTTTATTTTTTAAAGATGAAGCACCAGATTCGAACATCATTGCAAGATGAAATAAATTTTTTGGGGGTTACAAATAGGGGGGGCAGGATTTTATGACATCCTTTTCAAGGGGGGTAATGGGACAGAAGAACAACCGTTGACAAAGAAGGGGAGGTGGCCAAAAATAAGCTAAAAATTTGTGAATTTCTTTATGGATGGCTCCTAAGGAGCTTGCTTATCTTTATATGAACTTATTATTATTAGTTATAGTTTGTTGATGCCCTGTGGACATTGCTGCCCGGGGTAGACAATCCTTTCTCCTTCTCGTTGCGCCTGATTAGATTATGCTTTATGAGTTGTTGTTTTTTTAGACAAATATTTTAAGGGATTATATATACCCTCATTAAAATCCTGATTTGCCTTCTTGATAGCTTGAATAACGATTAAAAATAAATTAAAAAAGGAAACTAAGGTGCTTTGAAGCAATCTGTTGTTTTGATTAGCTAAAACGTTTTGTTTAGAAAGAGACTTCAGATTAAAAAAAAATTTCTAAAACCCAATGATTAAAAATCAAATTTATCCAATCAAAAATTTAATTGCGTAAAGACTTTTATTTTTTATATCTTTATATTTTTAAATAGAAATAGAAGGTAAACCATAAAAAATTAACAACAACCGAATTGTTTTTTGAACTTTTCTCAAAAAACTAATTAAGAATAACTGGTTAAACAAGCAATATAGAATTTTTGCCGACTTTCCCCCCCCCCCTTCCCACTTACTTTTAAATTTAAAATTATACGGTCAATTTTGAAGAAAACTGTTCTACATGATGAATCAACGCCAAGTTCATTTTTTTGTCAGTATATTTTTATTTCTTTTTTACTTTAAATATTCAAAAGTTAACAAAAATGCAAATCACAATAATTAAACAACATGACTCCAATCACCATATTTAAAATCAATATTTAAAATCAGGCTTATAGCAAGCTTTTTGTTTTTGTTTGAGAAACTTTATGTAACGACACGGAGTAAAGTCCAAACATTAGCTTTTCAAAAATATTGCGATAATCGGAGTCTGTTAACAATAAACCCCCTAGAACGTTTACCTTTCATGCTATTTTCTCAATAGTGCATTCAATTGCTGAAATGTAACCTTTCCGTTCCATTCTCCAACTACTCTGCATTTATCACAGCCAATGTATCCACAATGTGATTTTATACATTTGATCAAGCTCGAACAGGTGCATCACATACAAAACTATGCAAAGCAATTTCATAATGTGTGCATGCATTTAACAATCCATTTCAAGTTTGCTGCATTGCATAAGTTACCAATACTAAATAAATCATCAATATCATATTGGATACCTAAATGCAAATACTCTCCTTCGCTGCAAATTACAATAATTAAACATGACTCCAATCTCCATATTTGAAATCAATATTTAAAATCAGGCTTATAGCAAGCTTTTTGTTTTTGTTTGAGAAACTTTATGTAACGACAAGGAGTAAACTCCAAACATTTATATCCTCATGTTTATGCAAAATATAAGCTTTTCAAAAATATTGCGATAATCGAAGTCTGTTAACAATAAACCCCTAGAACGTTTACCTAGTTTCATGCTGTTTAACACCAAACAGATTAGAATTACTTAATCAACAGCATCTTTACCTAATAGTATTACATACAAATAGGTCTTTTAATGTGTTGTTAAAAACCATATTGAACTCATTTAAAAACTTTATGGATAACCAATTATATAATGATGTCTACTTGCGTAAACTTTGACATTAAATATTAATATAATAAAAAAAAATAGACTTTCGGTTATTAAATATACTTTTGATAAATAAAACATATTTAAGTGCCAAACTTTTGTATGTTCTTGTTTATATCACTTTATAATGTTTAGAAAAGCATTCTAACAACCACCTCATTTGGTTAGGGTGTAAACTTTATACAATCATAACTTTTGAATTTTGATTTCTAAAACCTATCAACTTAAAATTAGTGTAAACTAGCTAACATGTCAGCGTTGAATCAACGGTGAAAACCGGTCGCAAAAGATGTTGCGAAAACGTTGACTAAGTAATCGATTTCGCAAATGTATATAACGTTGATAAAGAGACTTTGGTTAACCTTAAGACTCCGCTTAATTTTTCATGTGTGACCACTCAGCGCGCAATGTTTTTTAGCAAAAGTTATAGTTTTATTAAAAACAATATATATTCTGTTATCCTTATGTCTAATTCTTGATGTAAAGTTTTTATAAAAGGTAAATGATTATACTTACATAAAGGATAACACCACGCTGGACATAGCTTTTATACATCATTCATCTAGAAAACAAAAAAAATGTTAGAAAAAACTCCTTAATGCACTTTTTATCAATATATAGACATTTATGAAAAAAAAAAGGTGGAAATGTATATTTACGTAATAAAAATAATATTTATAGTTTCCCATAAGTATATTCAAATAAAATAATAACAATAAAATCAAGTACAATTTTAATTTTTTCTAAATTTTAAAATCATTACACTAATTTTTTTTGCTAAAATTTGAAAAAATTTTCAACAAACAAACGAAATATCTTTATTGAATAGAAATATATGAAAAGACATATCAATAGATTTTAAACCATGATCACTTCAAGATTGCTCACTGTCGCATGACGAACTATCTCTTGATGATGTAATATCACGTTGTGTGTGATATATTTCAAAACACGGTGTGACACATAGTGCTACAGCACACATGTAGAATCTTGTAAGTGATTCTATTGGCTAAGATGTTATAAATATCAAAAATAGTACGATATTTATCAGTGTATATATTCAACACGATGCTCTACAAGCATGTAACAAGAAGAGAAGAACGACCGTATATTCGGGCCGTTTAAACATAAAATATTAAATATAAATTACAATAATAATCGTATCAGGAGGATACGACACTCCCGCCGCCTAATGCGTAACTACGAGATGAATGTTATTTTCGTTCATAAATATCACACGTGGATCCGTAACGCCTTTATTTATATTTTTATATTCTAGTGGAATAAGTTTATTTATAGGTCTCTTAACTCTTCTGAGTGATCCATTTTCTTCTAAATATCTAACAGTTGCTGCTCGTGAATGATCGTCGCTTGATTTCAAGATCTCTTCAACCTTTGCGGTCTTCCAAAGTAATCGAGATCTCTTATCTTCTTCTATCAGGACAGCGTCACCAACATTTATTTCCAAACAACCAATATTACGTCGAGACTTATGAAATTCCCTTAACTCTGTAAGATATTCCTTTTTCCATCGCATAATAAAATGATCAAGAACATATCTTAAGTGATCGTGTCGTTTGTTTATATCTAGCTCAATAGTATCATCACTAACAACTCCATTCAAGTTTAACTTTCGTCTAAATACAAGATGATTAGGTGTTAAGGCTTCTATACAAGGTTCATTATATACAAACGTAAGTGGTCGGTTATTTAAAACAGTTTCAATTTCTTGCAATAAGGTTAACATTTGTTCGAAGCTTAAACGAGCTTTTCCAACAACTTTTTTGAGGCATCGTTTGACCATTTTTATCATCCTCTCAAAGAACCCACCCCACCACGGGGCAGATGGTACATTTAATTGCCATTCAATTGATTTATTACTTGCAAATAGCTGTGTTTGTTCAGCAACAAACTGGGTACCATTGTCTGATATAATTTTGCTAGGGAAACCTCTTCTAGCGAAAAAACGTCTTAATCCACGAATACATACAGAAGGCGATACATCAGATACCAAATCCAAACAAATAGAGCGAGTGCTAGCACAGGTAAACAGAAAAATCCATCCTTTGTACATAATGTCACTGTCTCCATAAATGTTTTAAATAAATACAGGACCAGCATAATCTACTGCAGTATACTTAAATGGATAATAATCACATAAACGACTAAGAGGGAGAGGAGGAGATGGAGGGTACTTGTTAGGTAGTCCCTCAAAATATTGACAAACATAACACTTTAAAATGATGTTACGAACCAACCGTCTACATTGAGGAATCCAAAACTTAGTTCTTAGCTCGGAAAGAGTTTCTTTTAAGCCATTATGCTTCACTAATTTGTGAAAATATACAATCAAAAACTTTGACAAACGACTACTGTGTGGAATAAAAATAGGAAATTTAGCATCTCTTGGAATTGGAGCATTGTCCATTCTACCGTGACATCGAATAATTCCATCAACAACTCGAAGTCCAAGGTTGTTTTTTAATTGTTTAAAGTTTTTGTTTGTCATGATGTCACGTTGTTCATTTTGCACCTTGAGTGTCTTTGCTCTTTCAATTTCGTCAGCTGATAAAGTAGGCTTTATGACGACACAAGTCTTTTCAATACGAATTTTTAAGCACTTTACGAATCTTAAAACACAAGCAGTTATTCTATTTAATTGTTCATAACTACTAAATCTGCCAATATTAATAAATTCCAAATTAATGTTCAAGGGTTTGACAGTAGCTAACAAGCATGTGTTACCTTCACCAACATTAGGTTCTAATAAATTATAAATAGGCCATGGGATTAAAATGTCATTAAGATAATCAGGACCTTTATAAACCAAAGACTGTTATTCAAAATAAATTTAAACGAACTTCCACGAGAAATAATGTCTGCAGGATTTCGTGTAGACTCTACATATTTCCAAAATTCGATTGCGAATAAAGTACGAATTTTTACTAAACGATTTTCTGTGAAAGCTTCATACTTTTGATTAGAATTGTTTAACCAGTGGAGACATATGGTAGGATCAGTCCAACAAAATATTTTGTTTATGTTTAAATTTTTAAATTCACTTTTAACAGTCAACAACAGAGAACACAATAAAACCATTGCTTTTAACTCCAGTCTTGGAACAGTCATTTTGTTGACAGGGGCCACTCTAGACTTCGAGGCAACAAGAGTGGCAAAACATTGTGAATCGTTTATAATACATCTAAGATATATACAAGTACCATTGGCTTTAAGGCTTGCATCAGCAAAGGCATGAAGCTCAAGTTTAACATTAGTATTAGATAAGTAAGAGTCCGACAAAATCCAACGAGGTAAAGTTAATTTGTTTAAAGAACAAAAATCAAATATAATATCATGCCACTCCTCTAAAATATCACCAGACATCAAATCATCCCAAGAATATTTCGCAATACATAACTTCTGAAACAAGCATTTACATCGTACAATTACTGGGTTAATAAGTCCCATAGGATCAAAAATACTAGCAATAAATTTCATAACATCTCTTTTTGAACAAATATGTTTATAGTGTGAAGTAATACCATTAAATGAATAGGTAAACTCGTCAGAATCCTTATCCCATGATTGACCAAGTACTTTAGTTTCAGTCATTTGTTTATAATTAAGTGGCTGAATCTTCTGTTCAAGCTTCATCGAGTTTGATTCAACCTTTCTAAGATTAAAGTTTGCTTCGTGTAAGCAATCTCTAGTTTTAGTAAAAAAGTTTATGCATTGATTTAAATCATTACTACCAGAGTTCAAATCATCAACATGCAATGCTAACATCATCTTTTTAACAAAATCTGGATCAGCTTTAACATATTTTTGCAGGTGAGTAGCTAATGTTGCACTAAGTAAAAAGGGCGACGAAGTTACGCCGAATAAAACTCTGCATAAACGATATGTAGCAATTTGAGAAGAAAATATTTTCACTATTAACTGTATCAACATTTTTGACCCATAAAAATCGAACAAAATCACGATCTGCATCTTTTATGGATATTTGTAAAAATGCTTTTTCAATGTCAGAGATAAATGCATATTTGTAGCATCGAAATCGCAATAGTACACCAAACAAAGAAGTTGTCAAGCTTGGACCTGCATTCAAACAATCATTTAATGATGGCCCATCAATAGATGCACTTGCATCAAATACCATGCGTACTTTAGTAGTTGATTTATCATCTCTAACCACAGGTCGATGTGGTAGATGATGCACATTACCAAATTTAATTTTATGATTATTTACTTTTTCAATAACACCTTGACACAATTGTTCTTTAATAATTGAATTGTAACTCATAAGTAGTTTATTGTCTTTACTAAGCTTTTTAAGTACAGGTGCCAAACGTTTGATACAATAAGTATAGTTATCACTAATTAAATCATGGTTCATTTTAAATGGTAAACTAACTTCATAACGTTTAGAATGTTCATTAAATTGAATTTCCTTTTTAAAGTTCTCATATACTACGTCATTAATTTCAGATGTTGTTGTGCCTATGGCTTCAGAATCCCAGAAGGACAACATAGAATTGTGAAATACTGCTTGGTCACTACTAAATTCAGAAGAAACTTTTAAAACATGAGAGTGAAGCACACTACAATTATCTGAGTTTCCAATAACATTGCCACTTAACAAAAAACCAAGCTTAGACTTGAGAGCAACAGGACCATCAACACCTTTAATTACTTCATTTTCTACAAAGGACCAATAAAAATCTGCACCAATAAGGATATCCACACGAACATTTTTATCAGTACAATTTCTTTCTGCTAATTTCAATCCTTTCAAGTGACTATAGTGTTTAATGGCAAACTCTATATTCTGTCCATTTATCGGAGCACATATTTCTTTAACGTAACATGAGACAGGTATGGACATATTATTTATATCGAGAATGCAAAATTGAACCTTATCCAGAGTTTCAGTCATGCATTTATTACCAAATGTTTTAATAATTATTTTCTTCTGATCAATAGTCTTTAAATCAAGTCTTTTTCGAATAACTGGTGAGATATAGCTCAACTGAGAACAGTTATCAAATAAAATCCTGCAATTTCTTAACTCAGTAGATCCTGATGTTACTGTAACTAAAGCTGTTTGTAATAAAACTGAATGTCCTTTTGATGCTCCAGCAATTGAAGTAAGTTGACTGTCCGATGGTTGTAATTGATGTTTCTTTTCACACATAGCAGCATGATGTCGGCTCGAACATTCATAACACTTTATACGTGATAAACACTTTGAGGAAATATGTCCTATAGGTAAACAAATAAAACAACGTTTCTGATCTTTTAAAATTTTCCTTCTTGAATCTAATTGCGTCACTGATTTACAATTATGAGGAAGATGATCTTTATCACAGAAGATGCATTTATTAAAGTTTTCATTATAAGTATTATGTCTTCTATTGTGAGGAGAGCTAAAACTTTTCTTATTATTATACAAGGAACTTGAGTGCAAAATCTCAATTGATAAAGGTCTTCGATCATAAGCAGAATCGTTTATGATTGACTTTTCTCGTGCATGCAGTTCAGATTTAAAAATGTCAAGAATTTTCTCTATTTCCCCAAGAGTCATTACCTTGGAATTGTCTTGATATTATTAGGTTCAGTTCTTCAGGAAGTTTTTGCATTAAAATTGGTATGAGTAATGGACCATACATAGAAGAAGTAACATTAAGATTTTCTAAATTACGTATTTGAGTTTCCAGGTTGTCATAACTTTTTCGAAGCATTGATAAATCTTTAATATAAGTAATTTTATCCAATGAAAGTAAAGAATTCATATGAGTTGATATAAGTTGTTGTTTGTTGTTGTATCTTTCTTTGAGTAAGTTCATTGCAACATCAAAATTATTATAAGTTAAAGCAAGTCCTTTGATAGTCGATAATGCCTGTCCTTCAACTAAACTCCGAAGATAAGTGAGTTTTTGGATACCAGATAAATTGTTATTATTAATAATTGAACATTCAAAATTCTCATAAAATGATATCCAGTTTTCTTGTCTGCCATCAAAAGGTTTTAAAGTAATTTGAGGTAGTTTAACAGAAGACTTTTATTTATTAGAAATACTTCCTTCATCGACTTTGAAAAAATTATCTTTTTCTATAAATTTACTAATCAATAAAATGTTTCTTCGAAAGTATAAAGTGAATTCGGTTGAAGTATCTTCTTCAATATCTAGTTCTTTGTCATCCTCAATAAGATATATAATTTCCTCATTAAATTGTTCGACTTTTTTAAACTTTTCAATAAGTGTGTTATGAAAACTAGCTAGTTCCTCTGCTGCACTGTCAACAGAATTAAAAGTTTCCATGCAAGCGAATGCTTTTTCAAACAATTTTTTAATGGAATTAAAATTACATGACCTAAATCGCCGTTTGTTAGTTAGAGACATAATTTGAAAATAAATTATCCTCAAATATATGCTTGTAATAATACTTTTCTTCAATATGGCGACCAAATATTTTCTTAACAAATTTTCGCGGTAAACTTAAATCTACATAAATCTTTCACATCAAATGTAAAACAACTTCAAAATTTTAACTAAATAGTTCCAAATATATCCGTGGGCTCCAATGTAGAATCTTGTAAGTGATTCTATTGACTAAGATGTTATAAACATCAAAAATAATACGATATTTATCAGCGTATATGTATATGTTTGTTCAGTCTATCTATTAATGATAATACTACTTTTGAGTGACTTGCATACTCATCAAATGCTTTTGGAAATGTAATGTTACTGGGTGCAGGATAGTCTGTATCTGAACCAGTATATATTATAAAGCGATACAAATAACCAGTCTTACTTTCACAACACATGTATAATTTGATTCCGTAGCGTTCACGCTTAGTTGGGATAAAAACGCGGAACTTCAAACGACCTTTCCAAAGGGAAAGATACTCATCTACTGAGACATTTTGCTCAGGAGTATAATTTTCAGAAAAACATTTTGATAAACTATCTATCAAAGGCCTAAGCTTACACAAACTATCATCATGATTTTCATTTCCAGGATCTGTAAAATGCATTATTTTACGAATGGACTCAAATCGATCATGACGCATGAGTCTAGAAAAAATAGGTGTAGAAAGTATGGTCTTTAGTCCAAAACATATGATAATTAGGCTTGTTTACTATTCCCATTAGAGATATTATTGCAATGTATACCCAAAGTTCATTAAATGTCAAATCAACCCATAAGTTGAAGCAACTTCTTTTTTTTTTTTTCCATTCTTTGCATTATTTCTGGAGTTAATTTAGCAAGCTGGACATACCTATTTGTGTATTGGACAATATTGTTGATAATATCATCTGTTAAAAATGTCGTTAGTACAAGTGGAAAGGAACTTTATTCACTTTATTAATTACAGTAAATGGAAAATCTCTTTGTTGTCTAGGAATGTCATCCCATATAAAAATATTGCCATTATCATTATTAGAATGATTGGTCTTACAAAGACGATTTTGCAGTGGTTGCAATTCAGCTATATTACCACCAGTTACTACAATATTGCTGTTGTTGTTATTTTCAACATGAGAAAGATCTAAAGTAACTGCTCCATTTATTCTTGGTTGAATAAATTCGATATCCGAAGCATCCTCTTCTTCCGACGTTTCAGATTCTGATGTAAGTTCTAAAGAATCTTAGGTTGTTAAATACATATTTAAATTGCTTAGGGATTATATATTTATTACAAACATGGCTTTAAAATATTTTACTTTGCAATTTTGATACATACTAAAATATTTATGAAACAAGGTCAAAGAGAAATTAAGTAAGTTTTTGAAATTTAAATCTTAAACTTATTTTATTAATGAAACTCATTTATTTAACATTTCAAGTCTAAATTAAAAGACTAAAATATTATTACCATCAGTGGAAATTGAAGAATCATCTCCGCAACCATCAATTTCACTGTCATCAAGTTCATCTACAAACTTCTGAATCTCAGATTCAGTTAATCGGCGTCTCCTAGATGTCATAATTGTTATACTTTTTTAAGCAAAAATATTGCATAGAACTCTTGATAAAAAACTTAATGTTTATATTTTTCGGACCGTTGCACAGTGCCTCACAGCTACGGAAAAACGGCAAAAACCCTCAAATCAGTGTTTCTGAATGGATTTCAACCTTTTTTGGCTCTAAATATATTAAAATTTAATCAGTAACCCAACCCGAAAGTCAAAAAATAATTTTGCACACTTTTTTCAAAATATTTTTGCAAATTTGCAAATTCTGAATTTTTTTCCCACTTTCTCAACATGCTTTTCTGTCGTTTTTTATTGTACTTATAGAGACAAATTCATAAATATATATATAGTTTATTTAAATAAAAAGTGACAAATTTTCAATGTTTTTAAACACTTTACATATAATCCTTTAATAACAGCCGATTTTGTCAGTAAACAGTGAAAACAATAAATATTACATTATTCAGATACAAATATCTACTATTTCTGTATGTTGTAACGTATAACATATATAACATGTAACAATATAATTTAGATTTAAACAAAAAAACTAAACTTAGTGTTTCAGCAAGTTGAGAACTTGTTCAGACAAGGGGTTTCCATTGGAAGATTTGTGTTTTATGAAGTTGATCGACGAAATTTCTGGATCAGTTCTGATCAGCAATTATTGAAATTGATTTTTCATTACATTTAGTCTGGAAATTTTGCATGAATGGTTTAACCTAGCATGTCTTATCACTTTATTTTGGGCCTCCTGAGCCTCCTCAGAATAATAACCAATGAGTAGTTCTAGATTTTCAGCAATTGCAGGTCCATGAACTAGAAGTTTGTGAAGAGTTGGAGACATTCTGTACCAATCATAGTTATTAACTATAAAGGCTAGAGTCTCATTGCAGTATTGGCTAAATCTATCAATATCTAGGTCATACCCTGAACAAACTGCTTGAAGAACTGTCCTCACCCGGAGAATCAACTTAACCTGAACTCCTGTTATGTCAGCAATAGACTCACCATGCGTGAATGCTCTTCGGGCAGTATTACCATCATTTGTATTCCCAAATCCAGTTTTTAGAACATCTACCAGTAAACTAAGTTCTGCTCTAAACCTATCTTGAATAGTTTTTTTTCTAGCTTGAACAAGTACCTTATCTTCGGCTAACCTGACATCTGTCCTTGGAATAGTCATCTCCAGTCTGTAGCCTAAATGAAGTATGTATTCAAAACATTTAATCCAACAATGCAATGATGATAAACCAAGGGACATAGCATCATCATTCACAGGTTTAATTTTAACTAGATCTAGCTTGTTCATTTCTGATGGTTTCGCACCACAAATATTGCAGCTTGCAGATAATTTTGTGTTGGTTAAGGCATTAACCACTTTGCCATAAAACATGGTTAGTTCAACATGAGATTTTATATTGATACTGACTTTTCTTCTATCCGCAAGTGTAATAATCTCAACATAATCTTCCAAATCAGCCATCTGATCACGAATGTGTTTTTCTTCTGACTTGCTAAGTTCTGTGGTTTCTTTTTTGTATTGAAGACGAAGAGGTCTGCAAAAATGAGAACTATTTGGTTTCTTATTCTCTCAAATTGTTTTACTTTCTACACTTCACTTAAGAGGTACAATTGCAGTTCGGAAAAGGGATTCTTCATTTTTTTTAGCCTCCTCAATGTCTGTGTTATCATACCTTTGTTTATACAAACTTTGGCTTGATGCACCATCTAACCCTGCTTTTAGAATAAAACGACCATTAAGCACATTTTGATCTGGATCCAGAGTTTTTAAATTGTCTTCACTTAATACAATAACTTTTTTAAGAGTATGATTCACCATGGACTGTAATTTACTTTCAGCAGAAGTTTCAGTTACAACAAGGTCCTCTGGATAACAATTACTTTTTTCCTTGAATAGAGCATGTAATGTTGGATAAATATTGGCATTGTGTTTGATTGAGGAGTTTCTTATCATTTGATACTGATCATCACTGAGATCACAATTAACTTTTAATGAAAGTGCTTCTTTCTCACTCATCATTATTGGTTCCTTGCTGTCCATACTTTTTCTGATTTCAGATGCTTTCTGAATAGACTCTTTAACCACATAAGCAAAGTCTTGTAAGTCACCTGATGATTTTGCACTTTTAACAGCAGCCAGAGCTAAAACCTCTGGATCATGCGCAGATAATCCAACAACTCTTGTTCGCTTACTTCTCTCTCCTAGATCTTTCCAATCTTTCTTTGGTCGCCCTCCACTGAACTCTTTTCTGCTTACATTGTCAGCTTTTATAACAATTTGAATTTCAGTTTGCAACCATTTCTTTTCTTTCATTAACAGCATGTCATATGTTTTGTTTACTGCAATCCACTTAGCTTTCAATTTTATCACCAAAATTCGGATTTTTTCTGTTAGTTTTTCACTATGCACTTTTTCACCATCCAAACCTTCTGATATCAAAATTTCCTCATAAAGGAGGCTCACAATATCCTTGTTAGTTATACAAATTTCTCTTACTTTGGGAATCAAGTCTTTTATTTTCATTTTGAGATGTAATCACAAAGGCACATATTACTAACTAATTTTTTGGATTTGTAAACAACTTTTTGCGAATTTCTTATTAACTGCAAAAAACTTTAAAATTCAATTTCTCAAAAACGTGCTACTTTGGGGCTGGGTTTTTTTTTCTGGGCATTCCTGTATATATTCAAGATACTTCCCCATCAAAATTCAGGGTGGACAAGTGTGGACATTTTTAGAAAAAGTAAATATTGTGATTATTATTTTCTGAAAACTTTTAATTATTTCACAAATTGTGAAATTCGAACATTAATTTTTGGTGTTGATAAAAGTCCAATGTCAGTTACTTACCGGATGATATAATATATATATGATGTTCACCGAAAAAATAAAAGAAAAATTTTTAAAAATGACCATTTTGTGACAATTTTAAGATCTACTTGAAAACTCTAAAATTTCTTGTGAATTTTTGCCCATAAACAACCTGCATATAACAAGCTCACAAAAAGAGTAAAAATTTACAAAATCATAAAAAATGGGTTTACCCTGTTCAGTATGCTTATAACAATCAAGATAAAGTTAAAAAACATCAAAATAAATTTAAAAAATTAATAGGGTTTTTGCCGTTTTTTCGTATCTGTGAGGCACTGTGCGTTGTGGACTATTTATTCGTAACTTGAAGCCAGAAAAGGATTACAGTTAATAGGTTTTGTGTTTTTTAGTAAAATATCAAGGTATATTTAAAAACGCCAAAAGGCGTACTTCGGCACTAGCGAGAACGCCAAAAGACGTACTTCGGAACCTAAGGGTTACACGTTGTAGCGTAACATAGAAGATTTCGTAATTAAGCGGCTATTATGAATCACGTGATGCAATGTTTTTCTCGGGAGGGCAAAAATGTAAACAAACCAATAATAAACATATAAGAAAAAGGTAAGAAATAATACATCAGGTAAATAACAAATAAGAAAAAATACATCTGGTGTGTAATTTTAAAAATGATATACGTTTACAAAAATAAACACAAATAAAATAAAAGTCGAAAAAAATTTATTAAAGAATATTTTATTTATACTTTTACCTCAATAAAATAGAAAAAGATACAAACCAAAAAATTATTCTTATTAAAGCAGTGAGTTTTTGCAAAGAATTTATTTGCTTTCTTATTGTTTAAAAATAATTCTGTATAATATAACTTTGGTTATTCTCTTAACTTTTAATTAAGTTTTAATCTTTTTGTTTGAATATTTATTATCATGTTGTGTTCATTACTAAGTTTTTACTGTTTACTATCTCAGTTAAAAAAACATTATGGTTAATGATCGCTGTGTAGTTGGTATTTGCAATAACGATAAACGTTATCCAGAGCGTTACGAAATACATAGTAACGTTAAATCTGGAAAATTATGTTTCCACAAGTTGCCTGTTGATGGAAAAACAAGAAAATCATGGATTCATGCAGTTTCTAAAGGGCGAAAACACTTTGTTGTATCTAAACATTTTAAAATCTGCTCTAATCATTTTGTCGATGGCATGCCTACTTATGAAAATCCTAACCCAACACTCTTTTTGACATACACCATGAATGTTCAATGTACTCCAGAAAAAAAACAATCAAGACCTCCTCCAAAAATTAGAACAACATCTATTGTAAAACCTGTTTCTTCAAAAATGATTGAATCTATTAACTCTAACTCGGATACACTTACAGCTGAAGAGTTGTCAGATCTTATGATTGTTTCTTCAGACGAAGAAAGCTTAATATCGTTCAAAATAACTCCATATGTTAGTGGCGATGCAGTTGCAGCAGAATTATTACACATCTCCGACTCTCCCAAAGAATTATTACACCCACCCGCCTCTCCCAAAGAAAAAGACACTGTAAATCCAATTTTGTCTAAGAATAAAACAGGCTACAGTGTTAAAAATAATATAGAGCCTACTCTATTATCAACATATATTGCTTTACAGTTTTCTCATATTACTAGGGACTCAGATGTATCGACTTTTACAGGTTTACAAAATGCAAAAATGTTTCAAAGTGTTTTCAATTATGTCAAGCACAAAGCAGCAGTTATGAAATACTGGGATGGAAATAAAAGAACAAATTGATTACGAAAAACCATGTCCAGTGTTGAATCTGTCGAGCAGCTACACTTATCAGAAGATTATACTATTTGCGATAACTTATCTCCTATGAGAAAAAGTGGACCTAAAAGAAAAATCTCACTGGAACAGGAATTTCTTTTAATTATGATGAGATTACGTTTGGGTCTTTTAATTGAAGATTTAGCTTTCCGCTTTTGTATATCAGCTGGAACAGTTTCCCAAATTATTATTACATGGGTAATATTGTTATCTAAAGAGTTGGACAGCCTAATTTTGTGGCCTAGCCGGAATACAATTCGAGCAACTATGCCAAACTGTTTTAAGCGATTATATCCAAAAGTGAGAACAATTATAGATTGTTCTGAAATATTTTTTGAAACATCAAGTGCTCTTGATGTTCAAGCTTGTATGTGGAGTGACTATAAACATCATGCAACAGTCAAATTCTTAATAGCAATAACTCCGAATGGAGCCATTTCATGGCTGTCTCCCCTTTATGGTGGACGTGCCTCTGACATTTTTATTGTGAGAAATAGTGGTTTTCTTGATATACTTGAGCCCTATGACCAAGTTATGGCAGATCGTGGCTTTAAAATAAGGACAGACCTTGCATATAAACAGTGTACTCTTTGTATACCTCCAAGTGCTGTTAAAGGAATTCAAATGTTAAAAGAAGAAGTTCGAGAAACATCAAACATTGCTAATGTACGTATTTATGTGGAGCAAGCAATAAAAAGGATTAAACATTTCCGTATTTTAAAAATAACTCAGCCATTACTATACCTACCTATCATGAATAATATACTACGCGTATGTGGTGCTATATCAAACTTGAGAAAACCATTAGTTTCTAAATAGTTCATTAAACAAATTTAGTTTACTAAATAGTTTTTTTAATTGTATAATATAATGTTGCACTGTCCAAACTTTAGGTTATTATTATAACATGAGTTTATATCAACTAGGGTTTGAAAGATGTGTAAAAAATTAGTAGTTTTTTTTTTAAACCAAACCAGCCCCAAAAAAAGACTTTTTTTTGAAAATCTTTTGAAAATGCAGAAAGAATTTAAAAAAATGTAAATAAAAAAACACCATATTTATCTACAACTCTTAATAAAATATCCATTGAAGATTTAAGCTAAACATAAACTAGACATTGAGCACATGCAACAAACCCAGTCTAGATCTGCTATTAACTCATAGTCTTCTTTTTTTAAATTTTGACATGAACAGTGAAACCAAGCGCAACATACTTCACATTGAATACTGCTAAATTCATTAAATTCTTTAACATTGATTTCTGGATCTTCGAGTATAAGTTTATCGCATTTTCCACAGAATGTTATAGGTTTTATTAGTAATAATGCTGGAGAAACATATGTGTTAAAACCATTTTTTCTAATAATATTTTCCCTAATGTAGACTCATCAACGTTAGGATGGTCTAAAAGTATTTCAAATGATAGCTTTTCAAGATCAGGATTACTTACAAAATTTTCATCAGATTTTTTAATTTTTGATTTAAATATTACAGCAGAAGGCTCGGATATATGAATGTTGTTTAAAAAAGTTTCAAATGAATGTTCATTAAATTCACGATGACTTTCGATTCTTGGATCGAATTCTTGCAATGCTTTCATCCTTGTGTTTTCCTTATTATTATCATTTTTTTCATTATTTGCAATTTTTTTTCTAACAACTACGTCAGTTATTAAGCATGGTTTTATATCTTTTCTAGAAGACTTATTCCAGACACAAGCTTGTTCTGTGCATGTTGGATTACACCAACCTTTGTTATTAGCATATTCCATTTTATAAAGGGTGGCAATAACATATTTGCAAACTTCAAAAGCTCCAGCCATACACGAACACCAAGCAGAAAGAATATCATTATTACAAAAGGCAATCCAAAGCTTTCTTTTTTTGTGAACTTTTTGCGAACCACACACTTCAGAATATGCGAATAAAACATCTTTTTTAAACCTGAAGTGCATTATTGGGCCTACAAAACCACTATCGAAAAATGAAAATGCTTTTTGGTCCTTATATTTGCCAATATATTCCGAATCAAAATATTTTTTATTAAGAATATATGAAAAAATATTTCCCATTGTTATACTAGGCCACTCAGATACTAAGTCTTTTCTATTTTCCATTGGAACAGAGTTTGGGTCAATTAGATCTAGAGCTTTTAGCTTGTCCGTATAAGATTGCTTAAGTTTTTTTTCCTGTTCTTCTGCTGTCTCTATAACATCTATATTTAATTCCATTGCAGTAAATGCTCTAGCAACAAGCTCGACTTTGCGTCCAGTAGTACTTAGCCCACGAACAGTTAAAAAACTAACAAGCTTTTTGACAGATAAATTCAAAAAATCTTCGTATTTTTTAAGTGGCATGGTAAAATACAATTTTCAATGATATATTTCCAGATAAACTATTTTTAGATATTTAAACAAACAATAAAAAGATAAAGCGTTTTGCCAAGTTTGTTTATAATTTTGCCCTCCCGAGAAAAACATTAGGTCACGTGATTCATAATTGCCGCTCAATTACGAAAAGGTCTATTGAAAAAACGTTACTAAAAGACGTTACAAAAATGTCGCAACTAAACGTTAAAAAAGCGCTACTTAAAAAGCGTTGCATAAGCGTCGCAACTTAACGTTAAATAAAATTCACTTGAAAAGCGTTACTGTAACGTTGTTAAAGCAATCGATTTTGCAAGGATTTGTAACGTTAGTAGTAAAACGTCAATTTAACGTGACTCAAAGACGTCGAGTAAAGGTTGTAATACAACATTGAATCAACGCTTGAATGCGCTGAAGAAATAATCCCAAAATATTACTAAACGTGATTAAACTTGGCTATAATATATATTGGCAAATAAAACTAAATTGTATGTTGAACTCTGCACTTCAAATATTTCCAAAATTGACTTTTAATACAAGCAGTAATATACAATGAAAAATATAAAAATTTACAATTTATTTATATAAAATATGCAATTTATAGATATATAGACAGAAATAAAAACATTTGTCTTTTAAGATTTATGTGTGTATGAATGGATTTACAGGATATCGTATCGATAGGCCAGGTAAAGTTAAATCAAAAAAGAAACAAAATTATTTGCAAACATAATTACTTACATTCTTTTTTGGAGTCCTCTGTAGTCGTGAAATTAAATCCTTCGCATACTTCTTTATCTATTAGTATTTATTTAGTAAAATAAATATAAGCTAATATATGTAATAACTATGTAATATATGTAATAAGTGAAAACAGATTACAATATATATATATATATATAGGCAATAATGATATCATAACCAGATTCAAAATATTACTTATTCCGAAATAAAAATAAAATAGTTTATTTGATATAGTACTTCAACGTTAATATTCATATATATTATTAAAAAAGTAATTTGTGCTGTGAAATTTAATGACCTCCATTTACTTTAACTCTTTTGTCTAAGCTTTTTCCAGGAATCATCAATTGGAAAATTATTGCAGGCAGCTTTCATTGCATAAACACTAGTTCTGCTTCCATTGTGTTTTTAAAATAAACAATTAAAGCCCAAGATTAGGAAGCCATTATAATAGATTATCTAAACAGGCATATATATATATATATATATATATATATATATATATATATATATATATATATATATATATATATATATATATATATATATATTTATATATATATATATATATATATATATATATATATATATATATATATATATATATATATATATATATATATATATATATATATATATATATATATGTATATACATATATATATATATATATATATATATATATACACATATATATATATATATATATATATATATATATATATATATATATATATATATATATATATATATATATATATATATATTATTGTTACCAGCATCATCAGCTATATTATCGTAATTATGATATTACAGCTGATGATGCTGGTTACTAAAATCCAGCTAAAATTTCAAATAAATTAACGATAGTATTAAGAGAACTCATATTAATTGATGTTTTTATATTTTTAAGATAGATACTCTTATACCAGATGTATACAGCATTTAAATCATATACATTTCTCTTCAAAATTTAGAAAACTCCTGCCAAATGAAAGAGACTTTATAGGTCTGTATACAGATACTTAATAAAATTCTTATACAAACTCCTAATAAAACAATAAATAAATGTTAATCTATATAAATAATAACTTCTTAACAAATATTAAACTCTTAAATCTTGATTATTATTCCTTTAAAAAAAATTTTAACCATTATTCCAGTTTTTATATTTTTCAATAAAAATGACAAGACATGACGAAATTTTAAAACTTAAAAAAACATGTATATATATACACACAATATGCCTCTTATATGCATACATGTTTATATACATCTATATATATATATATATATATATATATATATATATATATATATATATATATATATATATATATATATATATATATATATATATATATATATATATATATATATATATATATATATATAGATATATATATAGATATATAAAGATATATATATATATATATATATATATATATATATATACATATATATATATATATATATATATATATCTTTATATATCTATATATATATATATATATATATATATATATATATATATATATTATATATATATATATATATATATATATAGAGAGAGAGAGAGAGAGAGAGAGAGAGAGATATTTAACTGAAAATATAAAAAAATGTCCTTATTATACTCTTTCACTTGATGAAAGCCTGAACGATTCTTTTTAAAATGGCTAATTGGATTTAAATATTCAGTTTTGGAACAGGAATCTAAATCATGTTGAATCCAGATACTTTGACGCGAAATTTTTAGGTCACCCTACAGCAATGAATTTACTTAAAAGTATGGAAAAAAAGGTATTAAGTATGATAAAAGTCCAGTGTCAAATCTTCCTAAACAAAAAGCTGATCGTCTTCATCAGATGTAATCTGTACTACATCTAGTTCTTTCTTGCTCACATATTACTTCAAATGAATGTGATCAGGCTTTCAAACAATTTTTAAAATTGTTAGAGGAAAGTTCATCTACTCTTTAACTTGTATTCAAATATTTTTACACTGGAAAATGTTTAAACAAGTTTTATTTTGAAACCATTAAAGTTGGTGCAGATTATAAGGTTTTATCAAAGGTTTTGATATTTATTTTTACATTATGTCATAGGCTAGCATCAATGCTCAGTGAAAAAATGAATGGAATGTCACTTATATCTTGTTGCACTATCAAGGATTTTATGGTGTCAAACAAATTGAAGGCTCACAAAATAGAAATAAACAATAAAATGATAAATGCTGTTTGTAGTGTCTCATTACAATATAAAAACTATTAGGAGGAAAACAGAAAACTCCGAGCTAAAGAAAATAGCCTGATAATGCTTTTAGATAAATAAATATTGGGACTTAAAGAAAAGCAAAAGATTTTAAAAAAGGTATGTGAAACATACAACTAGAAATTTATTACATTCATTACATTTTTTTCAATTTCATTATCATGTACCCTAGATAAGTCTGACAGGTTTTCAATGCCTAGTAAACATATCCGTTTTAATTATACCCTGGTTCAAAGAGAAATTTCATGTTGATTGAAGCATTTGATTGTTTATTTTAATTTTCAAGCAAATTGATTGGTTCATCACTCATTGGGGGATTATAGTATTTGTTTTTTTAGAGGTAAAAATTTTCTAGGGTTATTGGAGAAGTTTAAATGTTAAGTTTGGGCGTTTGAATGCTGGAAAAATCAGAGGGAAATAAGCAAAATTCAAGGGGGAAA